TCTGATTGTAAGTTTCAGAGCTGAACAACGAGAACAGTTAACTGAACAGTTAGGAAGTAACAAATGTTCAATTGATTTGTAACTCGAAGAGGTACCAACTTTAATGTTGTTTTGGATTCACAGTAAATCTTTGAAAGTTAGTTTGTTCAAGTATTTGATCATCTCTCAGAGGGCTGCTACAGTCTCTGTGGCAACCAGCCTAAAGACTGCTACTATATCATCGCATTACCATAAACTTCCTGCTTTTTCTTGTGTTTGACCTCTCTTTTGTGTTTGTTTTTGGACCGGGGCTTCATTTGTGTTTTGTTGTTTAATCCTACATAGTAATGTGTGAGGACAAAAAGGCTTAATTGGGATCCCAGAAGTGATGTATAATGGGGATATCTGGGGATACACAATCCATATTGGTTCGATGAACTAACAGCCAATAATGGGGAGGTTAGATAGTAAAAATCAAAATGACAATTAAAGAGCCAGCAGTGCATAAACTCCACATTATAAGATACAAAAATGTAAGACAAGCATTGGTTCCCTGATTATCAGGAGCAGGTTATCATCCCTTATTGGCATCAGCCCCAAATAATCTTATTATGCATCCCCATTAAAAACAGCAGTCTTCATTTAAATGATGTGAACCATAGCCTGTAGCTAACTCATTTGTTGCTGGTTTTTGTTATTCTGCCACAGGGCCATAGTATTGATGAAACAGAGCCAGCCGGTCCCTGAAGGACAAGGGAGCTAAAACTCTGCCAATTGTTCTCAGATCTGCAATGCAGTGTACAAAATGCAAGAGATATGTTAAGTATAAAGTCCCTCAAATAGTTTTGTTATTAATGAACACACTGAATAGATATTTTAGAAGCATAAAAAGAGAGACGTAAAAACCTTCAACCTCAAACTTTAAAGTTTATACACCAAAGGAGATGAAGTAACAAGCAAGAGGAGCAGATCTATGTCTATCTTTGATCCCCTTTTCTTCATTCCCCCAGCTCATAGTTTTGGTGCCTACACAGCTGTTAGATATTGTGATTGGCAGGTCTTTGGGTGGGATGGTTTACTTCCTGGTTTTAACACATATTTTGTTTTTCTGTTTTTAGAAAATTGACATATGATACCACTCAGTCGACAATAACTCTGTTTGTCATACAAACACACGCAGGCCTTGATTGATCCAGTTTTGTTGCAACTGTAAATGTCTACCTGTCTCCTCAATACACACAAAACCAGACACAGTCGTGTGTTTTATTTTTTTTGCCACCAAAAGGTTTTTGGTTGTTTGAGAGGAGGGCAGACAGCTGGACAAGCAGCTGTCATTTTACCTGATCATGCCAGAGCTCAGCACAGCGTCACAGTTTTCCCCAGAATAGAAACAGAGGGTTATAACTCTGTGCACAATTGTTTCTGTCTGTGTGCACCATCAGAACTGGCTGTCAATGTTTTAACTGTGTTCTTGTAAAGGATATGATTATGCACTTAGGGCTCGGAATTAATAATGCTGCGTTTATAGTGCTGAAGAAACCTCACTTACAGGAATGTAGTGCCAAAAGGGTTACACGTTCTCAGCTCCAGATACCCTAAAATAAGAGCGCAAAAGAGACCTTTTAAAAGGTTTGATGGTTTCAGTAAATTTTCTGTCTTCTGGTGAAATGTCAGACAAATGTGTCTCATAATATAGAGTCCAAGGGGCCTTATTAATTCAATGATTATGAATCTTCTTTTTGGATCAGAGCTGAGATTTAACATTTTAAATGGGACATTAAAGACCTCAAAAAAAGATACTTTGGTGTCGTTTTGAAATACCATCATTATGCTGTTTGTCCAGCAGGGAGCGCTCTGACTACACAGTCTACAATAATCTCAGCACTGTCTGCAGAACGTGTGACAACACAACAGTGGAGCAGACAGTGGGCTGGAGTTGGTGGGTACTGTAAAATAATGTTAGATATTCTTTGATGGAGCAGTTTGTTTTGAACTAAGGCTACGTTCACACTGCAGGTTATGATGCACAATTCGGATTTTTTGTTCAATCCGAACTTCTCGTGCGGTCGTTCACATTACAACAGCGAATGTATGAACAGAATGCATCCGTGAAGTGACCCGCATGTGCACAAAGCACAAATTGCTTTCCGCGCCTGTTTGCGTTGTCAAACTATGGTGACGCTTGTCACATATTGATGACGTATAGGTCGGATGAACGCGTCTGAGCGTCCACACCGCAGTCACATCGGATACATATCCAATTTATATCCACATACAAAAGAGGCCTGGGTCGGATTTGGAAAAAACAGAATTGTACTGTTCACACTTAACTGAAAAAATCAGATATGTGTCACATATGGTTAAAAAAAATCGGAATTGACCTGCAGTGTGACCAAAGCCTAAGAGCTTCACATTTCTTCATTTTAGGTCACTTTGGCAGTTGGAAAAAAGGCCCTTTTTGCTCCAGGTCTGCAACACCATTCATTGGCCTCTCAGAGACACAGCTACGCAGGTAGTAAATTTACTAACATGGGCTTCGAGTTTTAGTTTTTACATATGATATGTAATAAGAAAAACTTGTTTAAACCTGCAGATAGCGCCCTTACTCCACATTTGTAGCACTGTCTGCTGCTAGTATAGCACCATAACACAGCTGAGCAGATCTTTGTAAAACACTTTGGAACAAAAATTATGCAGAATTTCCTCAGAGAGACATGTTTCAACTCCAGGTGTGTGAATAATATTCAGGCAATATGAGCCTGTCCTGTACAAATAAATAAATGCTTTTCGATTTGGGCTGATATTTAATATTTTAACAATAGACATATCATGCAAAAAAGGATATTACTTTGGATTCAGAAATGGAGTCATCTTGTTGCTTATCCTGAAAAAGCCCCATCTGACTGCATTGTTTGCCACACTCTCAGCACTGTCTGCAGAAAGTGTAGTATCAAATCACATCTGAGCAGCACAAAATATAGAGACAAATGAACTTTCTGATTTTCTTGCAGAGTCACTCTGGTGCATAATCCACATAGAAAAGGCAATATCTTCTAGATATTATTATCTATCTATCTAGATTTCAATCATCAGTGGTAACAGCATTATTTCATTTCTCAGTATTCGTTCAGACTCTATTAATTATTATCCATAAAAATTTAAGGAGAATGTAAAACCCCCTGAATTTATGCTGCACACCCTTCAGGGCTTTTTTAGATTTAAATGAGAATCAGAACACATTCAAAATCCTGAAAACAGACGAAAACAGTCAAAAATGTTGCAGCAGTGAAGGGAGTCAGTTCAGGCTAATATTCATGGTGCTGTCAGAAAGCTCAGGAAATCAGAAAAGCATGTGGACCGAGTTCCCTGCAGCTCTCAGATGGATCACTGCTGTCCATCACAGCACAGTCGATGACATGTCCCATCAGTTTAACACAATTCATGACAAGGAGCTGCTCAGGGGTAACTTACATTGTTAACAAGAACACAGTGAAATGTAGAGTAACTCACTATTAGGAGTCAGCACGTTGGTTATGATCTCAAACTCCACACTAAGTTCACTGTATGCTGAAAATACTTTAATACTATACAAACTGTGCTGTAGCAGTACTGGAAATACGTCAATCAAAGAACTAAAAATCTAATTTCAGTAATCCTCACAATTTTCCAGTACATGTCACATTTCTGTGGCAGAAAATGTGCAAAATATGAAAAATAAAGTGTATTTCTTAAAGTTCATAATGAACGTATTGCTTTGGAGATCACAAAACCAGAGGACATGAAGCTGCGTACAACAGAGGTTTAATATAAATATCTATTTATAATCACATCACAGACTAATGTTGATGTTCCAGCAGGTGTGTCAAATAAATGGACTGTGTCTAAAAATGATCCAAGACAAAAAACAGCTCATATGTGTGTGTGTGTGTGTGTGTGTGTGTGTGTGTGTGTGTGTGTGTGTGTGTGTGTGTGTGTGTGTGTGTGTGTGTGTGACTCAGCAAAGATTTTAAAAAAGATAACACCCCAAATTCAGAAACTTTGATTTGAAGAGAGACAAGACTTTCATAATACTCAAGTATTTTGGCTGAGTTGTGTAGTAGTCGCTTTCTGAGTATTTCAATCAAATAGGGGAGACCGGGGCTTGTTGTCTCATGGGTAAGTTGTCACATTGCAATTATCTTTGCCACTAGAGGGCACAACTAAAAAGTGGAATACTAGTTTTCTTCATTTACATGGTCAGGGGTCGTGTCCTGTTTGAGAAGAGAAGAGCACATTGTGAGCTAAGATGAGCACCAATTAACTATTTCACACAACCCAAAGTGAAAAAAATTCACTTTATATATTTTAAAATAAGCTTCTTCCAGATAAAAATCACAGCAGTGAAACATGTGGACTTGTTAGAGAAGAGATTAAGGCATCCTATCATACCTCAGTCATTGTTTTGTTTTAAGCTAACTTTAAGTTAGAGCTAGAATTAGCAAACATAGTAGTTTGGGGCAACATGTCTCAGTCATTTGGGGGTCAGTTGTCTCGTGCCAGCTAATAAATCAGTCTGGAGGACAATAAAGGACTTTAATGTCAACTACCATACCTTGGCTCAGTACTGTAAAGCATTCACCCCAGCCAAAACACAGAGTCAGACAGCTCTCCAAACTCCAGGGCATGTTGCATAATATTTTATGTTAACATTTGTTCAATGACTTTTTCTAGCTCAGTGATAAACATTCTCTGTGCCTGACGTTGATGTTCACTTTAAAGTAAAAAAATGAGAACAACGATAATTTTGTCTTTGTTTGCAAAATCCACTGTGACATCTTACCCCTTGTAGTGAGACAACTTACCCAATGGTGGGGCAACATGTCACATGTTCACACTCTCTATTTGATCGCTTATAACTCTGGACTGACACAAGATATGAAAATGACTTGAACATGAAATATATACCTGAGACTTTTATCTGGTTCGCATTTTGTTTATATATGATGTATTGATTCAAAGAAATATATAAGAGTGTAAAAAGTGTGACAACAAGCCCTGGTCTCCTCTACATTTTCTATGTCTGGTACTTTACATTTAAGAAAAATGCCATGCCTATCTATTTCATAAGACAGGCGTGTAGGAGAGTTGTCAAAATTCGAGCAAACTTCATTAACGTATCAAAAAAGCATTTATTGGAAATGTCCAGAAAATGTTAAGACAGAATTCGTCTTATGTCTTGAAATTTTATACACAAAGTTTACACATTGAGAAATTCATGAATCAATTTAATAAGACCATGATTCATCGTTTAGGTTCTACAGTGTAACTAGTTCATCATACATGGAGGCAAAGTGTTGTGAAAGGTATAGAAACTTGTTGCACTGTAATGTTACACTGAGACTGTGCACATATTGAGAGAAAACTACATCCAAAGAGGTCCCATCACCTCTATGTTCAGCTCTATCTTCTTTTTGCTAAATTAAAAAGTTTAAACCTGTGAATGTGTCAGGGTAATACGAGAACACTGAGAATTTTAAAGCAGCCAGGTTTTCCTTCCAAGAGCCGACTGCCTAACCACAAATCAAGCGACAGGCAACAATGGACCCCAGTGGTGGAAGAAACCCAAGATCCAAGGACCTGTCTCGCTGAGCTACAGCGTTCCTTGGCGGCTACAAGAATTTTTTTTTTCTGGAGAGACAACAGTCAGTACAGCACTTCACAAATCTGGACTGTGTGGGAGAGTGGCCAGATGGCAGGAGACAGCAGCCTGGAGTTTGGGGGGAAAAAAAGAAAAAGGCATCGAAAGACTCTAAGTGCATAATGTAAAAGACTGTTGTCTGCTGAAATGAACACTGATGACTTCAACTTTCATGAAAACTGAGAATTTGGAGTTAAAAAGAAAACAGCATTACAGAAGCCAAGCATGATTGTGCCAGCATCCTCTTCAGTAGAGGGGACAGGTGAACTTGTGAGGAGGCTCCCAGAGAGAAGCACAAGTGGAGGTCTGTTCCAGCAAGACTGTGAATGACTGCATTCATGGAGACGTATTATTTTTTTTAAAGAAGAAGAAGAAGAAATATGGAGAATAATAATAAGTCCCCAGAAGCAAAAGGGACAAACATTTCACAAATAACATTCATGTCACAGCAACTGCAATTAAACACTGTTTAAAGAACACGATGCTCTAAACACAATGTGGAGATGTCACAAAGTTAAAGGCATGGTTGACGATTGGAGAAGCAGTTGAAATAAACTGAGCCGTTGAGGCAGATTTGAAAAAAAGTGTCCCACCCCCCACACACAAACCTCGACCCTCTTTGCTCCACGATAACTCCCCCCCGAACCTGTATCGCCCTCACCACGTCTTTCAGAGCCAGAAACCATCCGGCAGAAGATCCTACGCTAGCTACAAATAGGATTCACCGTGTCGGATTGCTAGTGACTAGCGGCAGTAAACGCCAGCTCTGCTAGCGAGCACCATCTGCAGCTGCCTGGACAGCGACCGTGTTGACATTGCAGAGATTAATCAGAGTTATTTATGTAACGTGCCACGATAAAAGGCTAAAATTACCTGTTCAACAAAAACTCTGCTATCTTGGCGTCTGTTTTCAGGCCCAAATCCTGGCAGAGCTTTCGCCACCGCTCGAAAGATGATCCGATGTTTATTCTAGCTAGATTCCTTGTTTGGTCACATTTCCTTTTTGGGCTCTGCCCTGTCTTCTGCGTTTTCTTCCCACTTTTGGCGGTGGGACAAGCAGAAGTGTTTTTTTTTTTGCGTCCTTCTCCATCACAGCTCCTGTAGCTAAGCTGCCATGCTACTTTTAGCTACTCTGAGCTCTGAGGAGAGCTGGGAGAGTGGGAGGGGACAAGTTGGAACTGTGGGAGAGGGGTGTGTCGAATACAGCGAAGTGATTGGATGGAAAGGCGGAGCAGGAGATTGACCAATCTGAGCTGTCCGGGACGGATGGCTCCCATTGGTCAATGTTTTTGCAGCCCTGCACCTGCAGATGGAGGGTGAACAGATTTTTTCCATTCTTTTTTCTCTTCACTTTGTGGGGATCGCACTATAGGACCATGATCGCCATATAAACGAGGTTCATAATAATCACCAATCTCTCCAATCGTCATCCATGCCTTTAAGGTTTCACATGCATTAATAAGAGCTGACATTCCACAGCCACAGTAGAAGATACAGTTTCATCTAAAGCTGCATGTCCACCAAGCGGTCTGGTTTGGTTGATTCAGCACAGTACAATACAACGCAGTACTGAATGGTATGGTTCACAAGTATTCATGGTCTTCATCAACAGAACCTGATGGGACCATGTGCAAAAATAAATGGCATTTAAGAGGCATCCATCAACATCCCTATTAAGACAGAGCAGAAGCTCAAACAGGTGATCAAACACGCCAACATTAAAGAGGATCAGAAGATTTTCATTCAAACTGTGAGGATTATGAAGACGAGGGAGTCCCAGTAACACCAGCAGCTCCTGGCGGTGGTCCTGGTCCTAATCTGCTCCAGGGGAGATGAGTTAAGTCGAGCTGAGTTGAGTTTAGTCAATAATACAAGCAAACTAGCAATGAACTGGCACAAAAAAAAAAAACGCTACCAAATGAAAAAAGTGTGATGAAGAGAGAATTCCTATTAATGACAGTTTATCATCACAGCATAGGCAAGTCCATTTTCATACCCCAAATAACATGTCCAATAAATGAACGAATATTTCAGAGCCAAATGATTACTACAAAACCTTTTTACCTGTAACCCCTCAAAGATCTGACAAAGTGACATAATCCTGTGGCCTTGTAAATATAATAACTGGATGTTCCCACAAAGTTAGAAAACTCTGCTGTCAAAAAGGATGCGTACCCACAATAATAGAAAAATGTGTCCTTGTGTGTTTGGGACTCCACAAAGGTAGATAAACCAGTTGAAATGTGACCTCAACAGATCCTCCAAAATCCAGAACAACTGTGTGTGTGTGTGTGTGTGTGTGTGTGTGTGTGTGTGTGTGTGTGTGTGTGTGTGTGTGTGTGTGTGTGTGTGTGTGTGTGTGTGTGTGTGTGTGTAATTGTTTTCCTGATTTTATGGGGACACACACACACACACACTGTTTTTTCTGCTTTGTAGGGTCTCTCAAACTTAGTGACACATATTTCTTTATTGTGGGGTCCCACACACACACACACACACACACACACACAAAATTGTTTCAACTTTGCACCTCACATGAACAAACATGTATGACTGTTTATGAGTTCTAACAGTAGCACAGTAAGGAATTTTACCCAGGCATTTGGTCATAAACTAAAACATCCAAACATTATACTGGTTGATAATAAACTAAATAACTGTAAATGCAATAATCCTTCAAATGTGACCCCAGTCACTCTCATTCTCAGTGAAAGTGAATGTGATCCAGTCTCATCTTTCACAGATGTTGCTTTATCATACAGTGCAACAAATTTTAGATCTAGGGATGTAAAGATAATACTCATTATTGTAATATATCTGTTCTTTAGGGGGGAAATAATAATATTTACAAGGTCTCCATGTGTGATGTTGTTATTTGAAGACTGGGGCCCTTTAAAGATTCTTTTACCCCATGACAATAGCAATGGGTGCTGTGGTAACTAGGAGGGATGCATGGTGGCTGACAAAAAGGTCTGGTTTTGAAAGCTGAGAGGCATCAGTGAAAAAGAAGAGAGGGAAGCTGAGAGATGCTGCAGAAATAAAAGGTTTGGTTGTGAAGAGAAGTGTCGGCCTGGGGCTGCAGCAGGGGTGAGTGTGGTTTCAGAAAACTGCTGAAAACAACTCAATCATCAGTCAAGTTTTATTTATATAACTACAAATCGTCATTTTCCTGAGTGGAAGGAAAAAAGGGGTAGACAAAGAGGAAAAATCTGAAAAACGAAAGTAGATGGTAACGATCAAATATTGCGCTACAGTTAGAACAACAGCCAGGCAGATTCCTACATGTTCAAACACTGATGGAAATCTAATGTCAACCAAACAGAAAGTTCCTTACAGGAGCTTTAAAAGCATTTTGGTTGTATACATTAGTGTAAATCTGTACAAAGCAATATGGAATTTTAAGGTTTTGTAGTTTATACAAATAATCTTATCACCTGTGGTTTTAAATACTTGATTTTGAATAGTCAAAATCCCATAACAATAGGATTTTGTTTACTTCGGCAATCTAATTCCACACATCGAATCGAATAATTCCACTTCTGCTTGTTGAAACTGTGGCAAATGCTAGTTTCTAATTGACTGTGAAGAACTGTGTTAAAAGGCAAACCAGTCATCAGCTAAGAAAAAATAAAGAAGAGCAGGAAAACTGTACAAGACTTGTGAGGTAGATTATACAAGGACATCCACCAAACTGAAGAAAACCGACAGGTTTGTATTTGGACATCATGTACATGAAAATGTTTTAGGTACAGATGTGATAGGAGTTATAATGAAAGGGCCGCTGAGTACTTGTATAAATGCATCACTTTTGAATCAATAAAACCATCTATCTGAGTATTTTGTGTAAACTTGTTTATTGTGTTGGTTCGTAGTGGGTTATTTAGCGGGATAATGCATAGTGAGCAGGTTGTTAAGGTGGACCGGACAATAACAGATAAAAGAGACTTCAGACATAATCTATAAAATCTCCTCTCTGAGATGTATTTTGTGTAACTTCAGAAGGGTTTTAGCATTTTGTCATTTCCTGTTTATATACCAACCTCCATGCCCAGAGTCAATGGCATGAAATAGCATTCATGCTAGCTTTAAAAGTGCTATCACGCCACAGAAATGATCTAATGCTTGAGGAAAGTTTTGCCAATATTAAAACAATTATGTTTTTTAACTTGATAAGTAAAAGCCTGAAATGTTAAAGAGCTGGTATTTGCCTCCATCTTACTACAGTGCAGATTTCACCCACATCTGCAGCATCAGAGTCCACTCAGTGTTTCTCTGGGATGACATTCTGGGCCGTCAAAGTGACTCATGAATTAGAGTTCAACTCGTGGCAATTAGATCAGCTCTGAAGCTCTATGAGACAGCGCAGCAGGGACTCAGCAGAAGCAGGTGTATGGTAGCAGATGTTGTGCTTCATGGACATAATATTTTGTATAAACAGTACCCGGCTTCTGTGTTTTTGTTTTGTTTGTTTAACTCTGCAATATTAAAATAAGTGCAATATAAGCACAGTATTGTGTAAAAATAGAATAAGATGTCCTCCAGCTGGCCTCGGAGCAGGACCAAACAGAGACTCTGACTGTTTCCTCCGTTGTTCTCAGTGTCTAAATAAAGACTGAAGCTGCTGCAGGTGAGAGGCCAGAACAAAAAAGAAACCAGAACTTTTACGGACTCCCGCTGTTCATCAGACGAATGCCTGATATCTGTTTTAACAATTCCTGAAAAATAAATCAGAAATCGTGGAAGTTTCAATAGTCAAGTAGTGAAAAGTAAAACTAACTTTGAAAATATGCCGCCTCAGATATCAGAAACCACAAGAAAAGGAGAATGTTCAATGACTGTAATCACCAGGGTTAAATATTATATTCATGAAAAAAAAAGGTTTCCAATACAAATGACTGTCAAATACCTGTTTTGTCCTTGAATTTGTCTGTGCGACAACAACAGAACCTTTACCTGCTGGAATAGACTTCAGGTCAGTGTGTGTCGCCCCCCAGTGGGGATACCTGATAAAGCAATGACAGAATAAATTCAAATTACAAGCTTTGATATGGTTAACAGTGACAATGCAATATACAATATATCTATTTTTTCAACTCGGTTAATTTTACTTGAACAAAGAGATGGAAAGTTAACATTCGCACACTATATTGAAGCTATTGTTTTTCTGAATGGTTGATTATAAGCAAAAGAAAATTGGGAGGCTGTGAAACCGTCTAAGTAAAACAAGTTGTGATGGTTTGCAAATTATTTAAACCTAAATTTTAACTGAAAAACAATATACTAGATGTTGACACTGAAAGAAATCTTATTGTTTTATGGAAAATATGCTTCTT